GCCCGGCCTTTGCGGCGGCCTCGCGTCGCGAGAAGTCACCCCCCCCCTCTCCTCCTGTTCCTCCTCCTCCTCCTCCTCCTCCTGCTCGTCCTCCTCCTCCTCGCATGTTTGCCGGCATGGTTAGTCGAAGTTGTGTTGCGTTGTCGTCTTCTCCTTGTTGTTGATGCGCTGGTAGTGCTATGGTGCCTATACCTGGCGAGACGTTGGTGTTGATGCGTGCGTTGAGGTGGTCTGGGATACTGGTGAGGGGCCGTTTGTTGACTAGGTCGGGCAATGTGTCCTACCATTTGGCAGTGTGTCGTGTGTCGTGGTGCATGTGGGCGTACGTGATACGAAGACAGTCTCGCTGATAGGCTGCGCTATTATCTTGATGATCAGTACTTGGTGGGACGAATGTAGTACTCGGAAGCGCTTGTGTTTGCAATCGAGTTGTTGTTTGGGCGTGGTCGCGCTTGGTAGAGCTGTGCTTACCAGTAGGCTGCGCGCGAGTGTGGATGGGGTGTTGTGGCGTGGTGAAGTACATGGTAGTGTCCGCCGTACTGTAGTCGCTTCTGGCCGTAGTCTTTTGTGTGCCCATGATGTGAGCCTTCTGCAGTAGCGCCTGGGCTCATGGATGCTGTCCTTTCGACACGTGGTATAGTGTTTGCTTGTCGTGGTGTATGTCGTCGCTCGTCGCGTCTACATGTGTCTGTTGTGCGTTATACGAGGCCAGCTTGAGGTGCACGGTAGTAGTATTGACACCTTCTGTCGTCATGCTTTTTTTGTGAACGCGCGTCTTTGTTGGTGTTTTGGTCGGTTGTAGTGATGAGCGGTGTTCGCTGGTTTGCTAGGTGAGGCTGGTAGTGGAATCCATATTGCTGTATCGCTGGGTATGCGTCATGATCATCTGTATGGTCTGTCTGATGGATGGTCCAATCTCTGTGATTGTGGTCCGATAGTAGTGCTAGTAGTCGCTCCTCTGGTTGTGGGAATCTGCTGTCTGCGGTGCGCAAGGTGCCCACGTTTGCGTTGACAGCTGCGGGTTTCTTTTCCAGCGCATCTTCTAGTTCATTCCATGTGTGGCCGTGATGCACATGTGTATGATGCAGGGTGATAGGGGTGTTGTTTTTGCGTACTTGGTGGTCAAATACTTGTGCTATCTTGGTGATTGAGTCATCGCTGTGCGCCAGCTGGGTAAATATGGGGATTGCGCTGGTTGGATCTGTGTGGATTTGCTTGTGTAGGCGAGGTGGCTGCTGCGCTGCGTTTAGAAACGCCCATACGGTAGCTGATATCTCAATGTTTGTGCTATGTAGGTTGTCTCCGTCGATCTCGCTGTGGATGCTCTGTGTATTGTTTTCAATGACGCATCCCTGCATGGCCGGTCGGTGCTCGTCATATTTGAGCATTCGAAATGCCCATGCTGAGTCGGCCTTGTGGGTGTGTGGTGGTCCGCCTGGGTAGGCTAACAAGGTGGGGCAGCTGGGTATCGGTTGGCGGTAGACTGGGGGCTGCTTGTGTAACTAGGTGAAGCGTAATGTCATGTAGGTCTCAACGTAGTAGTGTTATGCGTCTACTTGCGTTGTGGAGGGAGGTGGGCATATTCATCGGGCTAAGCTGCCAGGGATGGTGGCGCGTATTACGCGTAGAATGAATGGTAGGTAGTATGCGTCACCTGTGTTGCTATATTGGTGGTTGTTACATTTCGCCTGACCACTTTGAGGGTCAGGCGTGGGGTTCCGCATGCTGGTAGTGCTGATTTCCTGGGTCATAGCAAGTAGCTTTGTTGCGTGAAACTGCTGTTTGCCACTCGGGCCACGTCGGCTTCTAGTTTTTAGTCCGGATGGCCGCGTGTCAAGCAGTGGCGCTATGTCTACACCATCATTGCTCTCAATCGCTGCTTGTGCACGTTGGGGAGCATGCCTAGGTGGTGGGCGAACTGCGATTGCAAGGAGTCAACCGTATTGTGACTTTTCGTGGTCGTGCCAATCGTTGTGCTTCTGCAAACTGCTGGAGGTTTCGTGTTGGTTCGCCGTCGCTTGCTGCTGTGGTGTTGTTACGTACTGCGGTGTGTCGCCCATTGGAAGTGAGTGTTGGGTGTGTAGTTGCCGCTCTACTGCGTTTGGGCATGTGCAGTTGTAGTGATCTGGGTGGGCATGCTTCTGTCGGTGTGATGTCGTGGTCGAGGTCTGGTACTGGTTGGTTAAATCCAGAAAACAAGTATTGCTGCTTCCGCTATTAGTCCGCTTTTATGTGCTGTAATAGTGCAGTTAGTTCTGCTTCCACCTCAACCTGCCATTATCTGACAGTTTGTGTGCTGGTATATATATATATGTATACATATATATATATATATATATATATATGCGTAGCGTGATGTGCTGGTTCTTAATTTGCGTGTCAGTGTTTTGCTGGTCTTCTTCTGCTGTGGTTAGCCGCTGCTGGTAGTGCTGGTTGGCAGCTTTCAGTTGCTCTGTGGCGCTTGCCATGATAAGGTGTGCTGCTTCTTGGCCGTTATATTCGTCCAGTAGGTTGCTCTCTGCATGTTGCAGTCGTTGTGCTGTCTGTGCTGCTTGTTGTGCTGCTGCGACCTCTTGGTCGAAGGCCGCTTGAGCGTTGCGCTACGTAAGGTGCGTACTGTACCTCGTGGCTCTGGTGCTGTTGAGCATGCCGCCTGGACTGTCGGACTTCCTGTGGTAGTCCTTGCTCTAGTGAGTGCATATGTTGGTCCGCCATGAACGCTTAGGGTCCATCCCTTTGCGTCTGATCTTCTTGTTGTGTGTAGTGCTGGTGCATCGCGTGCTGCATCCGTTTTTCGACTGGTTGTTCTGCCCCCGGTCAGTCATGTGCATAGCCCTCGCTTGTCGCGAGTCGTTGGTCTTGTCGCAGTCCCTGCCTTTGTTTGTTTTTCTTGTTGGAGCTCTGCGACGATGGTCTCCGACTCGTTGTGTTATGCCTGGCGTGCGCGGTGTGCGGCAGCGTAGCAGTCGCTCTGTGCCTCTAGGCGCATGAGCTGTGCGGGGCGTTGGAGTGCCTGTCCCGCGAGGCTCTCTAAGTGCTGCTGTTTTTGCCCGTTCTGCTCCGTGGTGTGCTCAGGGTCTCGCCGTGCCGCCTCTGCTGTTGTCGCATTACCGTTGCCCTGGTCGCTTACGTTCGTAATTTTGCGTGCCGTAGTGCTTGTCTATGCTTCCTTGTCTCGTGGTGGTCGTCGGGCACGTGTTCGTGCGCTTCGTGTAGTTGTCGCATGGCCTCTCCTGCTGCTCATAGTTGATGTTGTGATCTACTTCCTGAGTCTGCGTCTTGCTGAGCTGCCCGTAGCTCTGCAATGGTCCAGTCGTTGGCTCTGGGCCCGTCGTAGGCTATGTTCAGTAGTGGTTTGAGCTCCAACGTCTCAGCCTGCTGTGGTGTATGGGATGGGCGTGCTGAGCGGTTCTAGTGGTGGTCGTTCCTATGGGTAGGTGCAGGGCTGTACGTCCTGAGCTCGTGAACCGTGGGCTGGGCGCGTGCTGTCGGTTGTTGTTCGGCTCCTTCTCGAGCTTAGCGGGGGTCTTCGTTTTGTGCATGTTGTCTTCGTGCTTCTGCTGGGCTTGCTTCAGTGTTGCTGCTGAACTCTTTGCGCATGCTGCGTAGTCGTCTCTGAGTTATCGTATGTGTTGTAGCTTTTCAGCTTCAGGCGTATGGTCAAGTTGGCTAGCCTCCTGGCCTGCAGTTTCCACTGCCAGCATCTGCGCTGCAATCCGCAAGACGGCGGTTTCTGAATTGTTCCACGCTCCCACTCCAAGAGGCGTTGCTCCAGGTCTGTCTTCGAGCGACGCGTCGTTTCGGTATGCCTCTGGGATGCTGTCGATGAGTGCCTGGTTCTCGCATGTGGTGCACGCTGCATGTTCTGGACTGTTACCGAACTTTGGTCGCTGCTCTGTGCTGGTGGAGCTGGTGGTTGTTCTTGGGTTTGGGTCTCGGAGCTCATGGCCTCGGTGGCCCTGGAGCGTGATGCCGCTGCGCCCAGTGTGGTGTTGCGGTCGCTGTTCGGCAGTAGGTGTCGCATGCTTGCTGCTGGAGTGGTGGTTGTGCTGTGTGTGTGTGTGTCGGTCCGTGGGTGGGCATGTCCGTGGTGCCCGACGGAATGTCAGATTGGACCTTTGCTTTTTCGGCTGTTTGGTCGCTGCTGGTGCTCCCCCTCACCTTTGCCTTTGGCTTGGGGGGGGGGGCGGGTGCGTAGTTGTACACTGGGCGGGCTGCTTGTTGTGTTGTGTTGTTTGCAGTGCATTGTTGTGTTAGTTTCGTGGCATTTGAGTTTCTTGAAGCTGCTGGTGGGTCGATTGGTCGAGTAGGGTGCGCGCTGAGACTACCCGTAGTAGTGCGCGCGTGCCGTTGCACGCTTTTGTCTCTCCCTGCGGTGCCAGGCAGGGTTGGGAGAAGTCAACGAAGTCGTTGTGCTACTGCTTTTACAATGCCGCAGTGTAGGTGGAGTCGTCTGGCCAACATGGCTTTGTGAGTGGTGCTCGTACGGTGCGGATGTCGTAGTCGTGAGGTCATGTATTCCATCCGCGTGTTGTAAGGTCTTAACGTTCGAGAGGTAAGAGTTGAGACGCATAGGAATGAAAGGATATGGTATGTAAATGGTAGGTCGTAGAGCGATGCGGTCGCGGCTGGCTACGGAGGCTCCTCCTCCTCCTCCTCCTCCTCCTCCTCCTCAAGGAGCGACGTCAAAAGTCGGCTCGTCGTTTGCGCCGACATTGGCGAGCAAGCTGCTCGCGCAAAGTCCAAGGTCGCCCTCGCTTCCAGCGTGGCGTGCCGCGCAGGCGGCCCGCGTAAGCCGCCGCGTAAGGTCGCCGTGCCATCCAATCAGTGGCGAAGCGTCCTGGCTTGCCTATGGGCACACCAAAGAATAGTCTAATAACCGTTTGTGGTCTGCACGAAATGTTATACGAACATGTCTGGCTGAGACTGTCTTGTTTTAACACGTCAGGTTCATGTTCTACGAACGAAGTTTTCGTTACTAGCCGGCCGCTCTGCGGTTG